AGATGGATGGATGGATGGATGGATGGATGGATGGATGGATGGATGGATGGATGGATAGATAGATAGATAGATGGATAGAGACAGACGGATGGATGGATGGATGGATGGATGGATGGATGGATGGATGGATGCAGACAGACAGACAGACTGATAGATTAGCTATAGATAAGATGTAACCAATAAATTAATCATGGATCTGCAGGCTCAACTCACTGGATGCCTGTTCCACACATCACCCCCTCTCAGAAGACCAGGCCTTCCGGGTCCTGATGCTCTCCAGATACAGCGTGATGCTGACAACGCCTCTCACCCTCCATGGCTGCCTGGGGTGGATGATGGAACCACAGCCCCACACACCAGATGACCCCAGGCCAGGGAGATGCCCAAAGGGGACAGCGCTGGGCACTTGTGGGAAGCCAACCTCGTTGGAGGGGAGAGCTGAGAGGGGTAGGGAGGAGGAACCACCTGGGACACGAAGGTCCTTACTTGAGGTCCGGATGGCCTTCCACCAGGGCGTAGCCTGTTGGGAGCTGGCCCAGGCTGTGGAGACTCAAGCCGGTCCACCCGCAGTCGACCAGCAACTGGTTGCGGTGCGGATAGTGGCCGATCACGCGTGTCAGGACCCGGACGGCCACATCCCCCAGCTGGCAGGATCCGATCATCATCTGCTGGACATCTGGAAGGGAAAGAGATGGGATGGTCCAGCCATCAGTTAGGGGATTCCCCTTTCCCATGCAGGACTGGGGGGGCATGGCCTCCCCCCCACTGAAGGAAAATGGAAAGGGGAAGCCGTGAGTGGTGGGTCCAGGGCTGGGGAGACCAAGTTTGCTCTCAGACAGGGTCTTTGGGCTAGTCGTGGTCTTCCATCCAGCCTACCTCACAGCGTTGCTGTTGTGGAGAGGACGGGAGGAGGGAAGGCTCAGCAGGCTGCCTTGAAGTCTTGGCAAAAGGGCAGAACTGATGTAGCAAGAACAAGAAGGACAATGCGCCGGGGAGATCCTCTCACTCCAGTGCTTCTGAACCTTGGCCACATGAAGATGTGTGGACTTCAACTCCCAGAATTCCCCAGCCAGCTTGCTAGCTGGGGAATTCTGGGAGTTTAAGTCCACACATCTTCAAGTGGCCAAGGTTCAGAAGCATGGGTTTCGCTAGTAAAAGGGGGCAAAGGAGTCAGGACTGAGGGGAACTGGGTTCAAATCACCCCTCCCCTTTGATCACGGAGCACACTGGATGAGTTCGGACGAACCACTTCTTCTCTCTCAGCTGAACCTACCTTGCAGGGTTGTTCTTAAGGGAATAAATTGACATTGCCTTTTGGTCTCAAGTGCAATAGAAATATATATCTCTATCTCTATCTCTATCTCTATCTCTATCTCTATCTCTATCTCT